ATCGTTATGGCCACTTATCCCTGTTTTATTACAGTGAAAAGATAAATTGGAGTAGATGAGTTAACTACTGAGTGTAAAGTTAATTTTTGCCACATGCAGCAGCATGTTTTTAAACAAAGATTTTTCTATGTTCATGTTCAAATAAGCTTTTCTTTTACACAAGAAAGGGGATGCCTAAGTAGTGGTTGTTTTTGTACTTTCTGTGCATTCAAAACCTGGCGTTTAGATGCTGAAGTTCTGCCTATCTTTTAATAAGATTTTTTTCTCCACTCCTCCTTCAATTTCTCTGAACAGGCTCATTTTGCTTCAGCACTGACAGTAGTTTTTGTAAACTCCAAGTCATTATCATCAATCAAGATGGATGACACACCGCTTGATGATCCTTCCTTGAAGGTTCTTGTTGCTAACAACAGTGATACTCTAAAACTACTGAAAATGAGCAGCTGTCCTCATGTATCACCTGCTGGTGAGTAGTGACTATATAATGGAAAATGTAGTAGTAAAGTATCATAAAACAGTAGTCAAGACTTAGTTTCAAACAAGTTATTTAAGAAACTTCTAGTGCTCTTGTGAGTCTCTTAGCAGAGGTCTTTTATTGTCCTAGTTCTTGGCTTTGGAGAGTTGGAAGGGGAAGAAGAATGAGCTCTTTGTGTTGTTGAATGAGTTGGATTAATAAAAGTGGAGGTACTCCTCATTTGACTGCATCTTCTAGAATCCTGGGGATTTTTATTTTTTTTTTTACATTCTTCTCAGCTACTTCGGTACCTCTTATGATGGACCTTGAGCAGAAAAAGCCTCTGAAGTTAGTGTAAGCCTTTAACATGTGTTCTGGTGACTTGATGTTTGTTGCCAGTTCTGTGTAAGGGTAAACAAATGTGTGCTGCTTAATGTGTGTGACTTTGTAAACTTAATGAGCTGGCATTCTGTGGGAGCACACATGCAAAATCCCCGATCCATAAATTGACTGCTGGCTGGTGGGATAAAGGACATGAAAGTGCCTGTCAATAACTGTTTCACAAGGTGCTGCGAGTTTAACTTTCTGAGCAAAAGTGTTAATATTTCGAAGTTATACTAAAAAAAAAAAGTGGAGTGTATACAAATGTCAAAAACTAGACTGAGAGCCTTCCGGTTTCTGTAGTGCCCTCGTGTGTCAGGATCTGGTAGTGTGAACTTGCTGATTTTAGCGTTGGTTCACTCCTCTCAAAATACAGGCTTGCCAGAAAGTTCAGAGGGCTTTTGGGTCCCTTCTCACTTTCTTCTGAAACCTTGGTGCTGGGGAAAGGGAATGCTGGTCTGATCTCTTTCCTGTATACTTATCCAGAGTCTACAAAAGGCGATTGAATCTGCGTGCTTTGTATTTCAACGGAGAAAGAGCAGTGATGCTGTTTATGTCTTAATTCAGTGAAGGATCTGTTTTAGCATAGCTGTTGAACTACACTTCTGGTGGTCATTTAACTAGAATACTTAGATGAGTGCTAAAGGAAGGAGTAGTAGGGAAGAGAACAGTGGCAACTTCAGCTGAATCATACCCGATTTCAGTTGCCTCGTCAAAGTTGAGGAAATTCTGGACAGGGGAGGGCAAAGAGGAAGAAAGCTACGCAGATCCAAGAGGAATGTGACTAGTTAGACTTGCTTCTTTTACTGATAAGTGTTTATGGCCAAAGCTCCATAAAATGATGTGGATATCTAGAACTTTTTATTATATCATGGGGTTTAGATATAGGCATGAATAATCAAGCAAATAGGATTAGTGCTTACTTGAGCTTTGTTTACAGCGAACAACCGTGCTTTTTGCTTCATAGTGTAATTGGTTTTGTTCCTCAGGAATCCTTTGTGTTGCCGACCAGTGTCATGGACTTAAGGAGCTGGCTTTGAACTACTACATATTAAGTGATGAACTGCTGCTGGCTCTTTCAAGTGAAAAACATGTTGATCTTGAACACCTTCGCATAGATGTTGTGAGTGAAAATCCCGGACAAGTTGAATTTCACACTATTAAAAAGCAAAGCTGGGATGCTCTTGTTAAACATTCCCCCAAAGTCAACATTGTGATGTATTTCTTCTTATACGAAGAAGAATTTGATGCTTTCTTCAGAGAGGAAACCCCTGTTACACACCTTTACTTTGGGCGTGCAGTAAGCAAAGCAATGTTGGGTCGTATTGGCATGAATTGCCCGAGGCTAATTGAGCTGGTTGTGTGTGCTAATGGACTTCAGCCTTTGGACGATGAACTCATGCGGATCGCCGAGCGCTGTAAGAACTTAACAGCAATGGGGCTTGGTGAATGTGAAGTCACTTGCAGAGGTTTTATTGAATTTGTAAAGATGTGTGGAGGCAGGCTTACCCAGCTTTCTATAATGGAGGAGGTACTGATTCCAGATAATGATTACAGCTTAGACCGACTTCATTTGGAAGTCTCCAAACACCTTGGAAGAATGTGGTTTCCTGATATGATGCCAACATGGTGAATTCTCTACATTGGTGGGGAAACTGGTAGAATCAGGGTGTTGCTTTCTATGCAGTTAAAGAATTTGAAAAATGAAATGTGAAATCTTATTTCCAGATTTGAGTTTTTCTACCTTGACAACCTCTAGTAGTGTAACAGCAAAACATTCTAGAATGTTAATGGCATATTGAAATAGAAAACAGATTAAATGGACTTAGCACTTCTCAAAGTATGTCTGTGGTTTACAGACTTCAGTGAACTTGAGCTCCTCTGAGCTTCAGTTTAAGTGTTCCATTCACATTAAAGATTTTTTTTTCATGTTTGTTTAGTCTTTCTGATGTAGTTAGCAGAGGACTAGAGAAACTTTTTTCTTTAGGAAATGTGACTTCATGGGAAGCTGATTACAACTTGGTGTTCAGGAAAACAGTATTACTTGTCATGATGTTTTATGCAACTATTTTTCAAAATATTCATGTTATAAATGTAACAGCTTCTGCATTAACATACACTAGCCCAGGTTACTCAGACATAATCTAGCTTAAACTCATGCCAGTATATGACAATGTTCTGGTAAATAAGTTTATGCTTACAAAAAACTTCACAGTTCTAAATTGCACTTTAATTAATTTTGTCAGATTAGCTAAACTGTATAGACTGCATTGTGCAGTATGTTCTTTTTCTGTCTTATGCACTAAACTGATGGGAGAAAGACCATGTTAAAATAAATGCATTTAAAAGTTTGAATCTCGATGGATTGCTTGGGTGGATGACAAAGCACTTTGGAAACTGCCGGAGTATAAGGAATAGCTTCTGGATTTGTGAGTTCCAGTCTTTGATTGCAGAGATTGATGTCTGAATGCTGTTCCACACTCTCATTGTTAAGAGAGAAGGGTCTCATAGATGTGGCTGATGAGAAGGAAGGATCAAAGGGAATACGGTTGTCTTCGATCACTTCTATCTGGAATCAAGGGTTTAGAGCACTTTAAAAAAAGATTATTTTTTTGTCAGTTAGAGGCCTAAATTACCTGCAGTAATCTTGGCTGTATCTCACAGAGCTGTGCTGTAAGCTCTGATTTCTAGACTAAGGATTGCTGGAGGTGATCCTGAAATTTTTAATTCAAGAGTGTTTAATACTTGTTGCTATTGATTTTTGAGAAAAAATTTTATTTTGTTTCTTCGTTTTCTTTAAAGGAGAAAGGAAAGTTGACGTGAATTAGAATGTGGTTTTGTGTTGATGTTTTGCACACTGTAAACTGAAATGCATTGTATACAAATTTTGCTGTAATTATTTTCATGTTGTAGTTGTTCTGTCTTCCTGTTTATAATGAGAAGTCTACCTTTGATTTGCTGGTAGTGTTTGTCACATCAGATAAAATGTCAGTTTCTTCCACGCTTATGCTTCTTTACTGCGAGAAGAACAACTGAAGAGTTAAACCACCATTGTCTTGGACAGACTTTTTCCTGGTCGCAAGCTAAGGGATTTAAGATAAGATATAATGCCTGGCTGAATCAGTAATGCATTATGGCCTGTTGCACAGATAAGAAGCATCTGGGTCTGGTTAGTGGCACCTGTTACCCAAGCACTTGCTTCCATAATTGAGGGGATTATAATTGTCCTTTAAAAGAAAGACCTGAAATATTTCTAAACAGTATTTGGTTTAAGATGTGTGGTTTGCTTTTAAATATAGGCATAATAAAGTGATCTAATATGTGCACTGATACCAGGCTCTTAGCACTCTGTTGTGCCACGTCCTCCTGCGAGGCAGAGTTCTGTCCTCTTAGAAACCATACACTTGACAAACCTGGGTAGAGGCAGTAGAAGTGTTTAACTCTTGGATTATAGCGAGTTAGTCATTGTCATTTCATGTTCACGCCTCAAACGGGACGAGTTTTGACATGCTGAATCTGTAAAATGAATTGTGGGCAAACCTAGTAAATGTTTGGTAAGTCCTGCAGCCCTTCATGTCTCCAGCCAACAGAACAGCGTTGATGAAGCATCAGACACTAGTGGCTGTGTACAGAAATATAGCTGAGGAGGAGACTGTTAAAATGCTGCCTTGAGTATTGTCCCTCTGTCCCTCTAACTAAAGTAAAGCAGCTTTGCTGTGAAGCTGTGAATGTTGGTGTGCTCCAGCTCCAAGCTTCTAGAGAAACGGGCCTGCATTTATTGATGTTGTGAATTTCGATGTGGTGGGTTTTTTCGTGCATTCGCTCTGCTGACTGATCTTACCAAGTAAGACCAATTGATACTTGAGTTGGCAACTAAATGCCAGCAAAACTGATAGACGAGTCTCAATGTGAAATACTGATTCTTCACTGGTAGTGTAGGAAGCTAATTTTAATTGAAAGGTAACTTCTGACGTGATGTGAATTTTGGATTTTACAGTTTTAGTGTCAGATTTGTTTAATGTCATGTGTTGGTGCATTGTGTATATATATTGTGCTTTGGGGAGGAGGGTCAAAACACTTTCCTGTGTAAAGCAGCATTAGTTCTTCTTTTCCTTCTGTAGTAGGTCGTCCTGAACGACTGCAGTGGAGGAAGGTACTGCACTTGGCAAGAACCTGTAGATAGCTGCCTGCTGCTTTGGCTTCCTGCTATCCCTTGAGCAGCCTGTGCTTCAGAGCTCTGCCTTGTCCTTGTCCTAGCTAAGGCAAGTTTTGTCTGTTTTATTGGCTTTTCCTAGTTTCACTGCCCTGCAAAGGCTTTCTGAAAGCCCCATCTCTGAAGTGTGTAATGCAATGATAAGATTTGTTAGAGTAACTGAAACCTGATTGCTGAAGAGATTTGTAGGGTCACTAGAAACTCCCAGGTTAGTTGGAAGCTAACAGCAGTGCATCTTCTCTGCCACTTGAGGGGGTGAGCTAGTTTTCATGCTCGCTGACTTTTCAGACTCCTTGAGAAATCTTATAAGTAGTTGTTGCTGTTTTCCCCGATTCTCTTGAAAATGCAAATTTCAAGAAAAACTTCAATCTTTTTTTCTTTATGTGGGGTCCCTTTTTACACCCAATAGAGACACTGGTCATTCTGGCAGACAACTCCAAACAGCATCTTTTAAGCCTTGTGGATTGTTTTAATAAATTTCCTTCTACTTTCCTCAGTTCGAGTGCCTTCAAAATCTAAAGTAACCTTGTTTGCCAAGGTGTAGTGAAGTTCATCAATTAGGCTAAGATACAATGTTCCCAACAGTTACAGGTGCTAAAAAACCAGCACCTAACTGGTATGTGGAGTGCATATTAATGTCAGCACCTTGCAATATTGTGTAAGACCCAAAGTATTGTGCGTATTGTATAACTTTTTTAATTCTGTAAAATATGTTTCTTCATCCCTTCACTGAGGTACTGTCCACATGACAAGAAAAAAACCCCAACTTTTGGATGCTGAGATGAATTTATTTGGAATTTACAACACTTCCATTTCACACTCTTTGCCCTTTCCCCCTTTCGAGATCGCGAGTAGGATCTGAGCGGTCGCAGTTCTCAACATGGATATGAGATGTGATCCCAGGAAATACCCTTTGCATCGGCAACATTTTCCCAAGGATTTGTCCCTTAAAAATTCTACCGTTGTATCTGATGGGATGGATGCAGAGTAGTTTTACGCATAGGCCTCCTGAAAACGAGAGGAGGGAAAACATCAGATGACGGATGAAGCATTTGTTCTTCTGTACTAACTCTATTTCTGGAAAATATTAGCATTTTTTTGTCTTGTCCTTTCCACTGAGATAGCAATAGTGGAAATACCAAAATAGCAAAGACACTGTGGTCATGAAAAATAGAGATAGTGGTTGGAGTTGTTGGCTTGGTGGAAGAGGGCAGATGGGAGGCAGGGAGAAGGTGGGGGTTCCTGCTTTAGGAAAGAGAAGAAGTTAAAAACATTCTACAGAGCTCGATTATTTGCGTTTTAACATAGGAGCAGAAAGTTCTGCATGTAAATGCATAGAAGGTGCAGTGTTTCAAAATATTAACTACTTGGCTAGCTGCGAGGTAATACATCCTATTTGACCTCAAGACAAAGCAATAAAAAATGAAAAATAGCTGTTTACCTGTTCCCCTGATTTGGACTCCATCATCAATGGCATTTCCGTTGTGGAAGAATTTAATGGGTCCAGAGAGCTCACCGGTAAAGGGAGCATACACAGTTGCTCCATCAGCACAGATGACATCCACACCCGTGTGCTTTCCTTTACCATTGCGTCTAAAACCAAATACATAATTAGAGAAGTCTCTTGTCAGGCCGGATACAATGTAGAGACAGATGAGTTAGCACGCTGCAGGATCTGCAAATGAGTTATTTGTACTGAGACAGTGTTGACATAGTTGACTGGCTGAAGAATCTGTAAAAAGCTTTTTGGTGTAGATGATGCAATAGCATGTAGGGCTGATGATCTGTTAGAGTTGCAGTTTTGCAAATTGAAGAAAAAAAGCCTTTTTTCTGAGCCTTTAAAGAGAGCTGTAGAGTTACAGAGATGTTGGTTGGCAGGTACCTGTGGAGGACCTCAAGTCCAACCTTCCACTTGAGTTAAGTCTGTTTTCAACACCAGGTCAGGTCCAGCACAGCTTAGTCTGAGTCATAAAAGCCTCCAGGCACAGAGGTTTTATGAACAATGTGGGCAACCTGTTCTGGTGCTGCATTACCCTTGTAGTGAAAATGTTGCCTCATGTCCAACCTAAACCTTCAAAGCTGTAATTCTTAAATGGTTTAAACAGAGTTCAACTCTCTTCCAGTGGGCCAGCAGCAAAACCCCACGTGTTCCACTTAGAGTACCTTGGAGCTCCGTAGTATCCACAGCCATACTTATCGCAGCCTCTTATCTCGTTTGTAGGATTCCCGGAGCACAAGGTTGCCCAGCGTGTGTCTTGATGCGGGAATGGTGGAACAACTTTGAAATATAGAAACACAGCACATCAGATTTAACTTTTAGGTTTTAAGTGTTGCATCTTTGTAGCTATATGTTTTAGTTTTAGGTAGGTAGGAATGTACTGGAATTACATCCCATGCATGTAGCTGGATGTCTCCTCCACAAAAGTGTCATCCTTTAGGAAATGGAAATAGAATGTACACCAAAGACTGGATTGTAATGTTTCTAGATTAGGGTTATCTTTTATAAGGAAAGTGCTTTAAATATAAAAATTTAAAAAGAGTGTCACTGTTCCTAGAGGGTAGTCTGAGGGATAGGAAAACAGTCAAGTTTTGTTTCTTATTCTGTGCCCAGGCTGGTGGGTCTGGACTTTTCAAGTCCTCTTCTCCATTACTGCCAATGTAATAACTCATATTTGCAAAGAATCATTCTGAAGTCTGCTAAGATGCAATACCGAAAA